ATTTCTTAATCGGCTATACTAATCAATTCAGGCGTTTTCAGAATTTCAGAATGGGACCGCGTAGAGATCCCCAGGCACCAGTCGAGCAGGACCAGGCTGTTGTGGTCAGCTGATTTCGTACGTATGATCCGCCCCGTTTCTCTGGGGAGAATGGCCCGCTAGCCGTGGCCGAGTGGATCCGGAAGATGGAGAGGATCTTTCGTATTATGGGTATTTCTGAGGTGCATAAGATGGCTTGCGCCGAACTGCAGATCGAGGGTGCGGCAGGAGATTGGTGGGAGGATTACTGGCGTCTCCGCTCGGAGGATGAGCGTGAAGCCACGGGATGGTTGCAGCTTAAGACGCTCATGGAGGATAAGTTCTACCCTCGCCATTTCCGTCAGAGGATGGTACGGATTTTCTGCCCTCAAGCAGGGCCAGCGATCGGTGGATGAATACGAGCGTGATTTCGCTCGTATGAGTGTCTTCGCTCCACACCTTGTTGACTCAGAGGAAAAGAAGGCCCACCAGTTCCTCGAGGGATTGAGGAATGACATCCGACTGTTGGTGGCTAGCCATGGTTACCTTGAGTACGCCGAGACTGTTGAGCGAGCTCAGCAGGTTGAGGCGTATATCCAGCGGGATGCCATTGACCAGCCGCCAGCTAGGCAGCCAGCACTACCCCAGCCAGCTCAGCAGACGAATAAGAGAAAGTGGGACGGTCGCAGGGACAAGAGGAACCGCAGACAGAGGGGCCCAGCTCAGGGAGGCCAGCCAGCCCGACAGGACCTGCCGGCATGTGCTACCTGCGGACGTCCGCACCGCGGGGAGTGTCTTGCCGGGCAGGATATATGCTTCCATTGCCGCCGCCCAGGCCACCGTATCAGAGATTTCCCAGACCGCCCTCAGCCACAGCAGGACCAGAGACCACCAGCCCCGAGACAGCCAGCTCAGAGACAGCCAGCACCCAGACAGCCAGCCCAAAGACCTCCAGGACAGCAGCAACAGCGTGGAGCACCCGCTCATATTTACGCACTCGACCAGGAGCAGGCCGCAGAGCAGCCAGGTACCATGTCTGGCATGTTTTCCTTGCTCCATACTCCAATCTTCGCTTTATTCGATACCGGGGCGACACATTCATTCGTCTCGACCAAGTGCTTATCTGCCTTAGGAGCCCAGGGAGTGAGTACTGTCGAACCTCTCGAGATCAGTCTCGCCTCGGGAAGGAAGATAGTTACGAGTTCCCTGGCCAAGAACCTTAGCATTGATATCGGAGGCCAAACTCTAGTTGTAGACGCATTTGTGATCGATATGAATGACTTCGACCTGATTCTTGGCATGGATTGGTTGACGAGGTACCGTGCGGACATTCGTTGTCGCGACCGGGAGGTGACGCTACACTTATCTGAGGGAGACCACATCACGTTTTTCGGGACGAAGTCTCGAACTTTGCCGCGCGTTATTTCCATGGCGAAAGCGACGAAGTTCATGCAGCGAGAGGACTGTCAGGGATTTCCTGTCAATATCGTTGGGGAATCTTCGGAGAAGCTGTCTCCCGGAGATATACCCATTGTTCGAGAGTTCGTGGACGTCTTTCCCGACCAGCTCCCGGGAGGACCACCTAATCGCCAGGTGGAATTCACCATCGACTTGGTCCCCGGAGCGGGACCAGTGTCGAAAGCGCCGTATCGTATGGCGCAGAAGGAGCTTCAAGAGTTGAAGGCTCAGATTCAGGAGCTTTTAAGTCTCGGTTTCATCCGACCGAGCGTATCACCTTGGGGAGCCCCTTTCCTCTTTGTCCAGAAGAAGGATGGGTCTATGAGGATGTGCATCGACTACCGGGATTTAAACCGGTTGACGGTGAAGAATAAGTATCCGCTTCCCAGAATTGAGGACTTATTCGATCAGCTGAGGGGAGCAAGTGTATTTTCCAAGATCGATCTCCGCTCTGGCTACCATCAGCTGAAGATCAAAGAGGCCGATGTGGCCAAGACCGCCTTCAGAACCCGATACGGCCATTATGAGTTCGTTGTGATGCCGTTTGGCTTGAGCAGTATTCATGGATCTCATGAACCGTGTCTTCCATCCATTCCTGGACC